TAGCTATTTGTTAAACATTACTAATCGATCACCCAATTCACAAACACGTCACTAAACAATCAACAAGCAATAACAACACGTCAATATTTATAAACAAAACGCAAAAAAACAAAAGTATTTGAAATACTTGCATATACTACGTGCATACCAATTAAATGACTGTAAACAAAGGAATCACTGTTAAGAATAGGAAGGCTATGCATTGAAAATCTTTCGGCAAAACAATCGCTATTTTTTCCTACCTGGGAAAACAGATATAATGGAAAACCATCTTCTGTCCCGCTCACACGTTATTGTTTTTTACTCGCGTGGGATACTATAATGGGGCTATTAAGAATTTGTCTAAAAAACTTGCGTATTCTTCACCTATGAATACTTATGGGGTGTTTAGCTTTGTGTTGTTTATACATGGGTTCAAATAGATGCTAGTTAAGTAGGAACAAGCTATTGTTAATTGATTGATAAAGCTATTCGATTAACAGTTACTGACAGTGTACTGTTGGGTTTTGAACCTCTTTTATATGAGAGGGTTTGACATAGTCTCTAGGCTTGGCAGACGGGCGGACCTTAGGGGCCACGGGTGCACAGAGTGGGGACTCTAGGTACCCATCTAGTGGCCTCAGGGAAGACGGTACCACAGTGGTCACGTGCTGCCGTGCAAAGCGATGATCAAGGGACACACTCGTCTCCCTAGGGTAGTGCTGTAACAGGCGTTGCACCATGGGGGCTCCGGAGCAGGTCTCTTCAGAGGACCCGGTGCCCCTTACACGTGCGTGAGGGTGGCCACCGGGGTGGTATTAGTGAGGTAAGAATCCCACACTCCCTGGTCTTTCTCCCCAAAAAGCTAGGCGCCTTCTGAAGGTTTCCCCCCAAAAAAAAGGCTTGGCAGACGGATTGGAAAGAGTACACCGCATTTAAAAAACAATCTTAGATCCCGCCTCTCGTCTGTCTCTGCGAAATGTGTAGTTCCTTAGTTCGGTTTTACTATACCTTCGGGTGAAGTACGGGTGGCGATAAATGTATTCTATTCTGTAGGATCATTTCGAGAATAAATGACGTCATATTGAACCAATTACATTGAATTGAATCTAGAGAACATAATTAAAAGAACATACAATAGTTGCCTGTTATCTCAGACGTACAAGGTATGACGTCACTTCCTTTAGAAAATTTATCGAAGAACAATCGTATATTAATTATATGTTATTGTTTGTGTAACTGCCGTTATTTTGTAATTATTTTACTATGAATACAGGTCTTCTTCCTAGTAAGAAGCTCGTAGTAAAAGTCTTGAGTATTAAGCTAACAGAAACATACATTGAAATTATTTACTAAAAGGGAAGCTGGTCGTTTGTAACCAGCTAAAAAAAATAGGCATTAACTAATAAAATCATTATTATTTTGTACAAGAACTATAAGTTTACAAAAAAAACCTTCTCGGATATCGAAGGTCGAATCTCTATAGGCGTAGAGACGACAGCGTTAGTGATACGTACTCTTAAGTAAGTCGTGATGTGCCAATACATTCTGTGCTAAGGGCACTATGTGTTTATACACACATAAAACACATGTGTGTAAAAACACAAGGTGTTTATGTGTGTTGTTTATGTAACTAACATATTATGTACTTGTGGACTTGTTGAGATAAATTAGATAACGGTGTCTTGAATAATTACGTAACATTAAGTTTTATATTCCTAAAATGGCAGATGAAACTGCACGTACTTTTTGTTTAATATTGTTCAAAAAACGATATATGTTGCCTTTGACCCACGCTAGGATTTTCTCCTGAGCCGTGAATGCGTTTGCAAACATATGTACAACATGCTTTAAGCTTTCTAAATATTTATTATAACCAATGTATTTAGAACAAGGTAGCGTTAAAATATATTTGTGTAGTTCTAAAGGGTTTAATTCATAACTATGCATTTTGTGAAGAATCAGCCAATCAAAACATTATAATTCACAAAATTTCAACCAGGAAACGTGATAACTAATAGAATAATAAAAAAAATATAATATGTTAAGAAACCGATACTGCAGTGAATGTTGACCAACACCAACGGTGTCGCAAGCTGCGCGTGCGCAACTTTTCTTAACATTTGAGCTAACGGATTGATTTCACGAAAGCAAACGTATTATTAATGTGGATTAGTGGTATTTTAATTAGTCCAATTTTTATGGAAGGTTATATTCTTGATGAGTACTTATAAGCGTTAACTGACTTGTTTGATCTGCGATTGGGTAAAACGCGTTTAATATTTTTTATAATAACTATCGTGAGACATACTAAATTACCTTAAGTCGCGGGTTACTGAGAACTGAATATACTGAGAAAAGCTCTACTAGTTTCGAACCACAGAGGGGTTCTTCCTCATGAGCAGCGTGCGCGGTCGGGGCGATGTCGCGCAGCTTACTGATAGGCCTATTGATAGCCCCTCTGGTTCGAAACTAGTAGAGCTTTTCTCAGTATATTCACGTGAGTAACCCGCGTTTAATATTCTTGAAATCAACTTTTTTATTAGGTAAACCTTTTACTTTAACTAAGATTTATGTGAATAGTTAGATAGTAAACAAATAAAGAAGGAAGGCATAACTTATACTTGAGCGCATAAATAGCAGGTAGTATTCTGTGATTTTTTATTTTTGCTGTTATTCCGAACTATCAGTAAATAGAGAGAAAAAGTACAGTTACAGTAAGTTACAGTACAGTAAGTTACACTCCCTTCTTCTTAACTAACTTCGTAACTCCATGCGATGAAATTGACAAGACTATACTAGTATTTCTACTCATACTTTTTGTAAACTTTTCATAATGATCTTAACTTAAGTATAGTCTTCTTTTTGTTAAGGGGAAAAATAATCGAATGACTTGTCCAACCTTGTGTGAGGCGAGAGACAGTGTTAGACTTAGACTCTTACTGATTAAAAACCTCCCCGTTCCTACTCCTGCACTTCGAGCTGGACCCCTGGCAACCCGTTAAAGTCTGTAATTGAGACGATGAATGATTCACTCATAATATCTCACACATACCTTAATTTTGTAAGTTTGTTGTATGAGACCTACTAAACAGCTAAATCAATTTCTATGCGACTATGAAAGAAAATGTGTATAGCTGATTTTATTATCACCTGTAGTGGTTGCAAGAAATAATAGTTGGTAATAACAAAAGTGGAAATACTCGAACAAATATTTTTATAATAATGAAGTCATTGGCAAACCAGTTGTGGTTTAGGTTCGGATCCGTCGATGATGCAAACTGGGAGTCACGAGTGATGACCGAACTCGTACACTTTGTGACTACACAGATGCAATAAGAAGTGTAAAACCGAACCGAATGAAACCGGAGGCCCAATTACCCTCCCCTTCCTCAATCTCCCCAATCCCTGAATCCCCAACGGCCCTCAAACTCCTAATCCCCAAAAAGCCGGTAACGCACTTGTAACGCCTCTGGTGTTTCAGGTATCCATGTGCGTCGCCGATTGCTTACCATCAGGTGATCCGTCGGTTCGTTTACCGGCTTATGCCATAAAATAAAAGCCAAAATAATATGTGTAAGATGTTAGGAACAAATTCCAAATCCAGAGACTGTACGGCGGTTGGTGCGGTGCCTGGGCATCTGACTGACGTGCAATGTTTAGCGTTTTCGATTCCCACACGGAACAACTCTTCAACTCCACAAAGTGTTGTTTCAGGTTTGGGTGTCATGTGTTTATAAAATTTTATGCTTGTGCACTAAGATTTTCTCCTGTGTTTTTCTCCTAAGCTTTAAAAAAAAAAAAGATTCTACGCCATAAACTAATCGTTCCTCGTTAAACAGTTACGTGGGTAAGCCGTTTAACACAATAATCAATCTAGGCCATTAACCTACTACATCAATAGTAACAAAATGTTTGCCCAACCAGAGATAAAATGTGTGAGTCACACTCATACTCATGAATACTCATCAGCATTTTTTATACTGCAATATAAGGTCAATCCTTTTAACCCCTGAAGGGGTTTTTTTTAAGGTGGGAAAATCAACGAATTACTGTTCCCGCCAGGGTGAGGCGGGAGGGAGTGTCAGACTCTTACTGACTAAAAACCACCCCGTTCCTTCTCCTGCACGTCGAGCCGGAGCCCCGGTTACCCGTTAGGTTCTCCGCGACAACCCCTGAAGGCTAAAATGTGAATTGAAACTCAAACTCTTTCTTAGCAGTCACACTTGCAATCACTCGAACAACGATGCAGTCAAACTCTATATCATATTCAGGCAGTCAAAATAGTCTATATCATATTACATAAAAGTACACAACATACTAACCGAATTTCGTTAACATACAACAAAAAAAAACATCGAACATGATACCACCATAGAGACCAAAATTCTAATGTTTTTTTTACCACAAACTCTTGGGAACGCGGAAATATTTTTTTATCGACTAAACAATCATTATGTTGTAACAAAAAATATCTACTAATCGTCCCAATGATGATCCATGGTGTAATCATACGATTACGGCTTTTTTTGGTATTCGTAATCGGTTTATTATGAGAGTATCCATGAGACTGACTGGCCGCCGGTTGGTCTTGTCGCAAGCATGATTAGTAAGTTGTAAGGTTATAAAGGTTTCTGGAAGTTTAGTTATTTTATGGTGATTTTATTTTTATTTTTTATAATGGTATTGAGTCGTGTGAAAACGGCTGAGTCGAATCACAAATCATATTCTTCCTGCAGGTGTCACAAGAGACTCGGGAAGTAGCGCTCTCTGATGATACTGAACCTTAAAAATTAACATTCTTCTATCTTATCTCATCTCTACGCCTGCTTACCATGTTTTCTTATGCAAAGGCGGCTCAGTCTCTCACAGGAGGATTTCAGATTTGTAGCAGCGTGCTCCAGTGAGAGATAAAACTATCTAGTATTTATTTAACTGTATGAAGTTATATTATTTGCTTAGTGTCCTTAGCCAAGATAAAAAAAAGAAAAAAGAAAAATGAAAAAGGAAAATCAACTCACCGCTCGTACTATGATTATCATGCTGCCTGTACTCATTCCTCTCTGGAGACGGCGCGAGGTCACTCCCAATACCAGAGCTACCTCCTGAAGACTCCAGCTTACGCCTGGCATTCACTCCAACAATGTTCTGGTTCAGGCAACGCCGCGTGTCAATGTTAGAGAGGTTCCCCTTCTGACGGTGCACCGTGTCGTAGTCCCGAGGAGGAAGAAGTATAGGACTTTTGCCTGTAAAATGTGAGTTGTAAGTGAGTTAGAGTTGATAAAAGTGAGTGACAGTGAGGTGGGTTGAGTTAAAATGAGTATTTCTGTGTAATAACTAGGTATCGTGTGTAATGCTAAATTCTCTAGCACATAAGACGTTCATATATTTTAAATATTTAAATTAAAATTTAATAGCTGTCGAAAAAATGTTTGGTATCCCATCGTTTACCTTTGTAATATCGTAGGGCAAAAGGGATGTTGTATATAACGATAAATGAAGTTCCATATAAGTTTTATTACCAATGAATGTTTTGTTTGTGTGTATGGTGACTATGACTACTGTGCTATTTACCCGCAAAGCTCAAATTAAACATAAAGAACAATATAAATGCATTTACCATAATAACAATCGGAAGCTTCATAAATATTCAGCATATTAAAATAAAAGAAGCATAATTTTTCCCTTCAATACAAATGAATTAGTTACATTTGTTCAGCGTAAAATTGTCATAAGACGCATTCTTGAATAGTGCCCGTTGTAAGTTTTACCGCGTATGTCATGGGACTCATAATATAACTGGCGATGAACATGACACGTTAACTATGTTTACGCTACCATTAGTTCCTTCATAATATCAGCACAACAATAAAAAATATTAGAATACTTACATAAAAAGCTTCAAACTACATACCCAAATACCGGTGCAAAACGCAACAAGCATGTCTACCTATGAAAATAAAGAAAAATGACTGACCTAATCCCCGTTTACCTGTAGATAACTTTTGTTTCAATTCGGCAGCTAAACTGTCATATAGGTTAGCCACACAGCGCTCCTCGTTGCTCCCTGAATCCGATTCTCTGGAGACTTCACTTCCAAGAGATGAATCTGGGGGTTTCTTGGACGATGGCAGCGCCCCCCTCATCTGTAGTTTGCGCTCGATGTCCGCGAATTTCTTCTGGTTTTCTGGTCTCTCTATTAGAGCTTGGAGGTGGGTGTACAACATCTCGGCTGTGTGATCTGAGTCGCATCTGTTGACAAACACAAAGGTTTTTTAGTATTTTTGTAATAAACACAGCCAAATATTTTTACTTCTAAATCGGAATTGTTTGATTAATGTGTAACTGATTGAAATTATATTCGTATTGTACCTACGACGTTAATACGTAGGTAGATTAAAAACAATTTAATTCATAGTTAGGGCCTGTTTGACACCATTTTAATGGAATCTACCTACGCAAAATTATTCGCAAGTTTGACTGACCAAAACTTAACTAGAGGTGATGAAACAGTGCTAGTAATGAAGTAACTAGATAAACATATTTGTACAATTAAAAGCAATTCTTATATAATCTACCCTACAAACCAAAATCGTGTCAACTAAAACATCTATTGCACATTCGACTCATTGTTTTCTATAAGATGTCCAATTCACATGCAAAATATAAAGATAAATATTACAATAAGCCCTTACAACATCCATCATTTCTCGTGTCGTACAGCCACGATCGTTCATGACAAAGTATGCGTTACCCAACACTAGTCACGCATGCGCATTCCAAGAGCACCCGAGTGACAGCGCGCCCAAATGTTCGCGGGCTAATGTCAAAGTTGATTACAAGATGGCGGCCTCATCTGTCAAATTTTGACAGATAATACAATAGGTGTTAAAATATTAGGTCGTATTGGGAAAGGGTTGATTAATTCTGTATTGTGGTTTTGATTGTTGTTTTGGTTTGTTATTTAAGTGATGATTAGAGCTTGGGGCTGTTTTCGATGACTCAAACCGGTTAGTCAAAAATTACAGTCGAAATTGAGGTCGGATGGTGGGTTTAATTAATCTGTATGTAGGGAAACGAAAACCATCGTTTTTGTCTTCTCCTCTAATACTATCATTCGGGATGTGGTTGCGGAAACCAAGACAGTTATTAATGCTCCTGGGATACTAGACTTCAGTGTTTAAGTATTTTCATGGTTGTATCTACTGTAGATCCTGGCTTACAGAAGTTGCAGCGGTTTTGGGAGGGTGTGGCGGGCTTGTCCGAATAAATCATTAAATAACAAAATGACAGAGTGTATTCCTCTGTCATTCCTTTCAGAATAAAACAAATTGTTGACTTCACTTAAAAAGACCAACGTTCTCATAAAAAGGGTTTTTCTTTATATAGGTACTCAATAACATGTTTAGGTTATTTTTACACACCAAACCTGACAAGGGTCAGTATCATCTTTATGAGGTAACTTTTACTTTTTTTGGACCAACGCAAAGGTCATCATTTTATAAACTGGTATAAAAATATTTAGGCAAGTAGGTACGCACATCCGTTCATTTAATAGCTACATAATTATAAATAACTGAATGTAGCTAGCATTAATCTCAATCAATAATGATATTGATTTATAATGCTGCATCGACTGTTACTGTTATTATCAACGTGATATATGACTGACAACTCTTGGCTGAAGCCGTTAAACAACTATTTATTACAAGACACTTATGTAATATATGAATGCCTTGTTTAATACATAATATTGTGAAAAGTGCCTTTGTATGTCTGTTAAACACGTAACAGCGGGGCGAGCCTATTGGCTTATATTTCATACTATTTACTGACTTCATTTGCGTAGCTAGCCTTAGAGCTAATCCTTACCTAATGTTATAAAAGCGAAAGTTTATTTGTGTTTCTGAGCATTTTTAAAATGATTGTTGGTTCTGGAACATAGGCTTTGAAATAGTTTACTCGAATAAGCATTAAACATACTGTTACAGTCATGGCATACATTGACAGTACCGCACCAACCCTGCTATTATCTTGTCATTTAAATTTGAACATTAATTCTTATATCGTATGATATATTTTATAACGTCCACGCCGTCACGTCTCCTGTCGTTACTTGCTATAAACCTTATGGACAAATGAGCATCAAAAGCTCGTGCCACACAATGTGAACACATATGTAAACAAATAAGTACGCACAAGTGTGGCGCCGGTTTTATAACATAAAAAAACATATATACATACATAACTTCACGCCTGTCTCCCATGGGGGTAAGCAGAGACTATGGAACGCCAATTACTACGATTCTTACATACCTCATTGGCTTCATCAACAGTCATCAATCTTTTCATGCATGCTCGTCGGTTAAGGGTACTTTTAATTTGGCCTTTCTTTAATATATCGCCAATCTGGTCAGTATATGTCCGTCTAGGGCACGAAATACATATTTACTATTATAAATAGGAAAGTGAGTTTGTTTGTTTGTTCCGCTTTCACGCCGTAACTTCTAAACCGATTGCTTTGAATTTTTGCAGACGTAAAGTTAGAAGTCCGGATTAAATAATAGGCTACTTTATATCCCGGAAAATTTTGATATTCCCGAGGGAAAACAAAAGAATTGGTATAGATGGCGCTGTGTGTATTGGTATAAGTCACGTAGGCTACTTTTATCCTTTTGTGACGCGAGCGAAGCCGCGGGTAAAAGCTAGTTAGATATAAAATGCATGGCAAGTTGTATTCTACCCTTAACGACCTTGTGTTCGTTCCCTTTAGCCAAGGTTACTCTAATAGTTCTGCTAGGAGCTGTGAAGCAACCGCACCGTATACAAGACACACAGGTTGTAGGCCCGCCTACTATCGATAACAGGTTCAATCAGCTATCGATACAGTTAGCGGCAAAAATTGCAAGCAGTGATCAGGAATATATTGAACATTTTTGTTGTATGTAAAAATATATTCAAAGATTTGTATTTTTTTTTAATTTGAAGCAGATATTATAACTGTTTGCATGTGAAACTGTCTTGGACTGAAATATAGTCGGAAAACGAGCAGACGGATCACCTGATGGTAAATATTTGGTGTCGCCCATTAATTCATAACACCATAGGAGTTTCTTAGCAAATAACGTTTTTTAAAAATTATATCAAGTTCTTCTGTATCTTTCATAAACTGTATATTTTGTAAGTATCTATTAAATTCACATACGCTGAAACTACTGAACGGATTTTCATGAAATTTGGTATACAGGCAGGGTTGCAGGTATGGGCTGACTTAGATAAAAGGATACTTTCTATTGCGATTAAATGCTCTCATGGGATAAATCATGAATTATATTCTACGCAGACAAAGTGGCGGGCAACAGCTAGTTCGTAATATTTTATAGTAATAGACAAAAAACTGCAGATAATTTTTTTACTAACTGTACTTCACCTCTTCAATACTTGAACCACCAGTAGTAGGGCGTACATTAATCAGAAGCTTGAATATAATACAAATTATACATTCAAATTGATACCATGCTGTGTGGTACTTACGATGTAAATTTGAATGTCGCAATATTAGTATGGAATGTTAACTTTCGTTGGTTGTGTGGTTGGAAGCACAACTTCTATACGTGAAGTGCAAATTTTATTTTTTTTAAAATCATCTCTAGGGTCTATATGGGTACATTTCACAATAAACCATATCAATGTCAACACAGAGTTCAAATTCAGTTACCACTGCAGTTTACGCAACTAACAAACAAAATAAAAACTTATCAATCACGCAATAAATAAATAAACAAATAAACATTTCAAAAAGGAACCCTTGAACCGCCATCTGTCAAACTGGTCTCATTCTCACAGATTAAAAATAACGTTGTATAACCAGCCAGTTTAGATGACATAACTCTATGCTAATGCTCTATAGTTTATGGTAATCGTAGGGCCGCCTATACACTGTCCTTACTTACGACACATCCGTTGGGCACCGGTGACTTTATGGTAAAGGTGATCGACCTTAATCTGATTACTTATGACATCAAAGAACCTTAGACCTTAGGGTTTAAAGCTTAATGTCGTCAATATTTCTTACTTGTCGATTACAGATATTTTGGAGTTTTTTGCCCTCATAAGTCATAAGTATTTTGCATGAAATATGTGCTTCAGATCAGCGGCGACTTTAAGTTCTATTTCGGTAATTAATTGTCAAATGTAACATTTTGTTTTTGTTTTTATTGTGTTCTGTTAACACATAGTCTGTAATAATACTTATGCAATTATTATTTAATATAATCGGTTTAAACATATAAAATAATGAGAAAAGCTCTCCTAAACACAACCTGGAATTATTTATCCTATACAATTTTGGTCCGTGTTGCACTGGATATGTGCACCTCTGCCCCTTCCTTCGAGGTTAAAAAGGTTTTTTTCAAGGGGGGAAAATCATCGAATGACTTCTCCCGCCTGGGTGAGTCTAGAGGGAGTGCCAGACTCTTTATTGACTAAAAACTACCCCGTTCCTTTTCCTGTCCTTCGAGCCGGAGCCCCGGCAACCCGTTAAGTCCTCCGCGGCTTCAGTTAAAAAGGTGTGGCGTTGAGTATACAATACGTAGGTGTATTATTACTAATTTCGAATTTTTCATTGACGTATTCTAAATAATCTTAGCATTTTTCGTCAAACAAACGATTCGACTCTTTTTATTGTACATCTACATAGATACTACATGTCATATTAAAAACGAGAATGATATCCTTACTAATATTATAAATCGGAAAGTGAGTTTGTTTGTTTGTTTGCTTGTTCCGCTTTCACGCCGTAACTACTAAACCGATTGCTTTGAATTTTTGCAGATGTACAGTTAGAAGTCTGGATTAAATAATAGGGTACTTTTATCCCGGAAAAATTTGATATTCCCGAGGGAAAACAAAAATATGAGTATAGATGGCGCTGTGTGTACTGGTATATGTCACATAGGCTACTTTTCATCCTTTTGTGACGCGAGCGAAGCCGCGGGTAAAAGCTAGTTAATTAATAAAGAATAATTCTAGAATAACAATATCATCCGAAGACAGGTCATTAGTTGCCTCATTTGGTATAACAACGTCATTAAAAATACTTGATAATAATTTTGAGTTCACTGTAAGGACATTTAAAGGTCAAATTCCTTTGACGCATCATCTGTCGTGTTATTTTAGAAAATGAGTGTTACCTACTACTTGTTAGTTGTTGTAGTTTGTAATTAAAGTGAAAATTTATAACATGCCACTTC